TCTTCTTACCATTTGCCACATTGGCAGCATTTCTACAATCAGTTCTGCATCTACCTCTTCATAATGTTTTCCTAAATTCCATATGAGTTGTTATACAAATTGGTATTTTATTCATATATTCCTGTAAGAGAATTTGGTTTTTGGGTACCATTCATGACTACATTTTTAAATGTAAAACATGGCCTTCTCCTTGGAATTGATATACGGTAGTATTCAGTTGTTCCAAAAGTATATATTGAGCACCTAATATTTGTACTACTTTAGTGATAAGGTTCCTTTTCTAGTGAAACTTATCTTCCACTGGGGCAGAAAGCAGTGACTAATTTAGATAATATGTACCTAAATTCCACCCGAGCCAATTTCCAATTTCCAAGGTAACAGGACTATATATCTTTAAGAACCACAAATTTAATCTTTTCAGATAAAAGTCATTCTCCAACTCCTATATCCCTCCAACTCCTATATCCTATAGCCCTTCCTGCCTTTTATCTCTTGATAATCATTGGATTATTAAGATTCTGAAAATTTCTGTGATTAGCACAAAAATCACATTTATTAAGATCAACATTTAAATCTTCTAGAATGGAGGTGGCCAGTGAGTTAAAGCCAACTTGCTAACTGTTTTTTTACCTTTTTAAAGAGAGGAGATGGGAAGGAGGAAGAGAGGAAGAGGAAGAAACAAAACATAAGTGACTCAAAAAGTCTAAAATATTGATTATCACTCTAACAGAAAATTTTGCTGTTCCTTATCCGCTTCTGAATTAGATTTGTTGGCATTAGAACATAGCTCTCAGAGCCAGCTCTAGTCCTGAGTCACCTTCTTTAATAATTCAGGAAACACACTGATATACTGAGAAAGACTCCTGAAACTTTTGTTATATACAGAGTATATATGTTATGTTATTATATATACTATACATGTAACTTTTATATATAATTATATAATCTGGATATATAATAAAAATTATTTTTTAAACTGCCCTTTTATTTTTGCATTCTTCCTCATTTAATTTTCACAAAAATCTCAGCAATCTCCAAAGATAAAACAAATAGACTAGCCTCTAACTTGTCCACATGGTCCATTTAAAAAAATAAAAAAGGAAAGCAGTAACTGTCTTGTACTTTTAAGGAACAACTAAATGAAGCATATACATATGAAATATTGGTGCACCCAAACTACAACTGGCTAAATCATTTGAAGGCAAAGTGACATCATGGTCATTAGTAAGAAATCACTCTAGACTGAGCTGGGTATGTGTGTGTGTGGTTAGGATCTGCTTCCTATAGTGTTTCCTAATACAATTTTACTTTGATGTTACTCTCATGTTATTACCACTAGACATTTGTAGGGTTAAAAACAAAACTTGTTTATCTATGCCTCAATGAGAATTTAAGGTCTAAATCATGGCCTAAGGAATTACTCCGATTAAGAAATACAGACTTTTTGTCATCTATTTTTGCCTGTTCAGGGATTTGGGATTTTATTTTGAATACTTAATCCATGAAATAAGTAGTCATCACAGATTTTGCTTAAAAAAATCATTACAAAACCAAACATATTTTCATTAAACAAGGCAGAATAACCACTGATTAGGAAATTTAAAAGATAGGAGGAAAGCTTTGCACATTAAAAAACTGATGTAGGGGAGATACTGGGACAATTAACCCCACCAATATACATAATTACAAGGCACCAATAAAAAAAATGGAAAAAAATGATATGAAAAGAGAACACAAATAAAATATATGGAACTAATATGAAAATATTCTATTTTACTTTTGTGTGAAATAATGAGCTCTACTTAAATTACATTTATTTTTAAAACCTTAAAAGAACAATTATCTTCAGAGATAACTTTTCTAAACTGACCTTGTAAGAAAAGTGACTAGACATGTAACCCAGTTAATCTAAAAGGAAATATAAGTATGAAAAGGGAGCAAATTAAAAAAAAATAAGTTTGGCATAGAAGATATTGAAAATGTTACTGGAAAAAAATACTTAAGCACTTAAAATATTGTCAAAAGGCATTAAAGTTAACTACTGACATCTAGTAAATCACTTATGTAACTTTAAGACAGGACCATGAAACCCATGTTCTTTTTTGGGAGGGTATGGGAGGTAGTGGGGATTGAACTCAGAGGCTCTTAACCATTCTCATCCCCAGTCCTTTTTTAATATTTTATTTAGAGTCAGAGTCTTGCTGAGTTGCTTAGGGTCTCATTAAGTTGCTGAGGTTGGCTTTGAATTTTCAATCCTCCTGCCTCAGCCTCCCAAACTGCTGAGATTACAGGCATGCGCCACCATGCTTGGATCCATGTTCTTGTTCATTACTTCCAGTTTTATTCCAGTTACTCCTTTTTTAGGAATTAGGGGAATCCATGTAAGGAATGCTTATCACATTTGTGGCTTAAGTGAATTAAGAAGGAAATAGCAATTGCATTAGAGACTGAAATTTGACAAGCTGATATATAATGGGGATAGAGTCATATTTCCACTCTGGAATAAAAAGCAAAAGAAACACCAACTGTATCAGCAGAACGATGGGGAGACAGAGTTCAATGGCAATGTAATGTAGTAAGAAAATTCACACAAACTGAAGCCATGGCATTGGAAAATTACCAGAATGATAAGAAAGAGAAACATGCTATATTTAAAAATTTGAAGAACTGATGATAGCCCCAATAGAGAAGACAAATGGAAAATAGTTTTGACTCTCTGAAGGGCTGTCACACCACAAAGTTGGCTGTTTTGTGCAGCAATAAAAGCAGCAACTAGAAGGGGTGGTTAAAAGGAGACAGACTGCACGCAATGTTAAGAGGAATTTTATAACTGAGTGGAGACAGAATGGGCTGCTTGAACATCATTAGAGCTATACAAAGCAGAAACTCAAAAGACTACTCATACTTCCCAGTCACCAGGAGGTGAGAAGGTCAGGAGATTTGCGTTTCTAAAAATTATTATTAAATTTTCTGTTTTTGGTTTAGTATGTTCACTTTTTTCCACTGTTTGGTTTTTGCTATAATTAATAGGAATTATTTTAGTATATAACAAAAATATTTGCTTCTAAAACTAGGTCTATTTCATTAGGGACAGTCCTATCTATTTGTCTTCTTTTGGCCTTCAATCTTACTTTGTAAATTCTCTCTAATCTCTGTGTTGCTGAATTCTAATTTTCATTAAGAATTTTGTCTTTAGCCAAAATACTCACATGTAATTTTATCCTTTTCCTTGAATGACACTGCCTTTCAGATAGAGTTATCAGTTATCTTCTTTTTTAAAAAAAAATTTTATATTTTAGTTATAGTTGGACACAATGCCTTTATTTTTATGTGGTGCTGAGGAGCAAACCCAGAGCCTTGCATGTGCTAGACGAGTATTCTACTACTGAGTCGTTTTTGTGGTTTTTTTTTTTTTTAAATATTTTTTAGTTGTAGTTGGACACAATACCTTTATTTTACTTATTTATTTTTATGTGGTGCTGAGGATTGAGCCCAGGGCCTCACACGTTAGGCAAGTGCTCTACTGCTAAGCCACAACCCCAGGCCGGTTATCTTCTTTTGTATTAAACTATCTTTAGTTTTTTTTTTTTTGGTAGTAAAGTGTTGATGTAACTGCCATTTATTTATTTTATTTGCGTAGATTAACATGGGCAGCTCTCCTACCATACATATGGATTGTCCTTGATACGTTTCTACTTTTGTGACACTTGTTCTTCCCTTTGAACTAGTGTTTCAAGGCCTGAGTGTTACATGGAGGGGAAGTAAAGAGGGAGGAGGCTTGTGTGGCATTGTTGGCTTACTCAGGCTCCTTGCTATAACTTTTGTCAGGTGTCCTGAACAGGGGTACACTCCATTGAGGAAAGGATCTAATCTCTTGGATCTGTGCTCACAACTTAGCTTGAAACCCTGACATTGGCAAGCCCTAGCAAATTCTCTTGCTTCTGCTGAGATCCTGGCATACTGTATTGCAGAAGATAAGTGTACTGCATGATGTTGTCTAAGGGTCCTCCTTCATTCTCTCAGTTAGGTTCGTTGTAGACTGAGAAGTGTTTTGTAAAAGTTCAGGATTTGATAAGTTTACCTTCTTTCTCTAAAAGGTTTTTGAATGGTGGGAACGGCACCAGGATTTTCTTTCCTCAACCTCCATTTTTTAAATCTATGCCTTAAAGTTATATTTAACCTTTGTGAATTTATTTTTGCTTGCTTCATCAAATACAAGATTCTGATTCAGGTTCATTTCACATTTTCATCTAGAAGTCTCAGGCTATGCTTTTAAATAAGACCTCACTAACTGTGCATAATATTAAAACTCTAGCTGGACATAGTGGCACATGCCTATAATCTCAGCAGCTTGGGAAGCTGAGGCAGGAGGAATGTGAATCAAAGCCAGCTTCAGCAAAAAAATAAGGCTTAAGCAATTCAATGAGACCCTATGTCTAAATAAAGTATAAAAGGGCTGGGATGTGGCGCAGTGGTTGAGTGCCCCTGAGTTCAATCCCTGGTATTCAAAACAAAACAAAAAAAATCAAAAAAACAAGAACACTCTGGCAGAAGCAATTAGAAATCAAGCGATAGATATGGTCAGAATATTAAATAAGTAAGTGTCCAGAATATCTGTGAATGTTTATAACAAAACACTTAGCTCCGCTATGGGATTATAACACTCATAGAGCAATTTTTCACCAAACAACAAAAAAGTAAACAACCAACCCTGATTTTTCAACTTATAGGAAAATTCTTTTTAAATTTTTAGACCCTATATTCCTTTTTTTTTTTTTTTTTTTTGGTACTAGGGACTGAACCCAATGGCAATTAACCACTAAGCCACATCCCCAGCCTTTTTATTTTGAGACAGGGTCTCACTAAGTTGCTGAGGCTGGCTTTGAACTTTCTCTTGCCTCAGCCTTCCAAGCCAATGGGATTGCCGGTGTATAACACCATGCCTAGTTAGATCTTACATTCTTGATTGAATATCATTAACACTATATTTTTATACTCACAGGCCAAGGCTGTAGATCATTTAGTCCCTTTTCTAATTTCTCAACATCTGGAAACTTTGTGGCTCCATCAGCATCTGCCATTAGGATCTTTTTTCCTCGAGAACTGAATACACCCTACATTTAAAAATTCCAAGTAAAATAAAGTTACTTAAAAATGATTAAATTCAATGACATTTCAATTTATTTGCTTTACTCAAATACCTAAGATTGAAATACTAGGTGTAAAATGGTAGTAGGTCAAAGTTCACTGTTATTCTTGCTAACATGTTCCTTAACGTATTTATTGGTATTTATTGCCTATTTCATTTTTAAAAACTTGTTAGGTCATACTACTAACACACTGGAAAATATCAAGTTAGTAAAATACGTTTGGATAAATAAAAAGTATTCTGCATCACTAAGAATAATAAAATATCTATCATATATATGTGGATATACACACACACACATACATTTATCAAATGTATTATTATATGTGTGTTATGGTGCTTAAAAAGAATCAAGGACAACTTAAAGCGGCATATAAAGATCATGTTAAAATGGAAAGATTGAACAAAAATAACATTTGCAGATTTGCTATAAAGTAAATCATAAGGTTATAGATCTTTAATATTCTTTATTAAATGTAAAGCTTTTAAATTAATCACTAAATAAAGACATAGAATGTCACTAAAATTTAGAAAGTGTGCAAATACTATATATTTGGACCATATCCAAATACTATTTTATTATTTGAAGAGTGTGACATTTAGCAAAATTATGCTAATCAATTTTGAATTTTTGAATTAATCTTTTGCATAAATTATGGATATACAATTTTGTACATTTCACACAGAAATAAACTGTACATTGACTCAATTTCTATGGTGTATCCTAGTGAGTTCATTGCTTCTCAAATGTAAATATATTTGTGTTTGTGTTTTTTAGAAGGGTGGGTCTCACTATGATGCTCAGGCTGGACTTGAACTCAGGGCTCAAGTGATTATCCCACCTCAACCTCTTGAGTACCTATAACTTATAGGCATAGGCAATCAAGCCTGCTTTATTCATGGTTTGTACAGTGAAATGCAGCTTTGATAATATAGTGTGACTGTAGATAAGATACATCTAAATATAGACAGAAATTTAATCATTTATTCTATGACAGAATAAACCCAGTGATTATTATCGGTGATGGCCCTTTATCAAACCCATTAAGGTTATGTGTAAAAAAGCAGAAAATAAGAAGTTACCAAATTTAGCTTCTAAACATGTATGATGTTACAGAAAAGAAAAAGCATTATAAGGTACAAAATCTGGAGCTTAGTTTGAAATGAGAAAAAAACAACAATAAAGGACTAATCATTTAAATAACACATTATAATGGTGAACTGGAGGTTATTATTTAGCATTAATGGAGAATTGCACTCAAACTTGTGGAAGCTTCATCTTTTGTTTTTTTTGTAAGGCTTCTTTAGAGCCTGCTATTATCCGATTCTACATATAGATATACATGGCCTGTGTGTCATTTCCAAACTCCTAGAAAAGGTTCTGTTTTCCCTGATTATCAGACCCAATTCTGTCTCATTTCTAACATCTCCCACTTATGCTTCCTCCTCTTCTGTTGTGTCACTATCATAACCTAAATAAATATTCATTATACCTTGACTTTAGGCTCCCAGCCTAAAGTTAATGACCTGAACCCATCCACTCTCAGGCCTTATCTCCATAGTCAAGCCTCATGTACAACTGGTAAGTCCCTTGTTGCGATCTGTCGACATTGCTATGTTTTTGATCATGTTCCTTCTCTGCAAAGATCCCTCTTCCCTACTTCCATAAAGATAATTCCTAACCTTCCTTGAAGACTCCATTCAGAATTACCTTCTATGGGAAGTCTCTGCTGTTCCCTACTAGAGGGTGGTGTCAGCACTGAGTATATACTTCTATCAAAGCATTTATAACACTATCTGAAAACTGTTTCCCTGCAAAATTATGATATCCTTATGGACAGAATGGGCATCTTGCATCTTAGTATCTCTAATGAGGTACAATGTTGGCTAAACAAATGGACAGATTTAAAACCCATCATGATAACTGCATCAATTCTATATTCTTTCTTTCTCTCTTTCTTTTTTTTCGTAGTGCTGGGAATTGAACCTAGGGCCTACCTATGCTAGGAAAGTACTCCACCATTGAGCAACACCCCCAATCCCAATCCTATTTCCCTTTTCTCTCTTTGGCCTAACCTGTGACTTAGAGTGAACTTGCTGATTCTAGTACATATTCTATGAGTTCCTGCTTCAGTCTTTTCTGGCTTTGTTGACTGGCCTTCCCTTCTCAAATATAGAGGGTAAAAGCATGAATTTCACAGTTAACTAACCTACTCCAAATATTGATTCTAATATCTATGTGACCTTGAATTACCAATCCATGCCTCACTTTCCTCATCTATATAATCAAAATGATGGGACCTAATTTATGAGAAATTTTGAGGAGGATCACAAGTGATAATTATGTTGAGCCGGGGATGGTGGCACATGCCTATAATTCCAGTGGCTTGGGAGGCTGAGGCAGGAGGATCGTGAGTTCAAAGCCAGCCTCAGCAATGGCAAGGTGCTGAGCAACTCAGTGAGACCCTGTCTCTAAATAAAATACAAAATAGGGCTGGGAATGTGGCTCAGTGGTTGAGTACCTGTGAGAAGATAATTATGTTGAGGTGGTTAATTTACTCTTCAGTTCAAAATAAGCAATCAGTAAGTAAATGGAACCTAGTTTCACCATCACCAGAGACCTAGCCTCAGTGACACCTCTTTTGTGATATCTGCTATTTTCCTCAAGTGGCTGAGACTGTTAGTTACCTACCCAAGAATCACTCTTTCCTTTTTGCTTTTGAATGGAATTCTAATTTGGTTGGGAATGAAAATATTAGAAAAAAATTCTCAGTCTTCCTTGGAAATCAGGGTTGCCCGTGATATTGTTCTGGCTCATGAGATGTAAGTAAAAGTTATTGGGTGGAGCTTCTGGGAAAGCTCCTCAAAAGGGGGCAAACTTGCTGGCATACATCTTTCCCCCTTCCAATTTGGAATGTGGATGCAATGGCTAAAAGGGAGGAGCCCAGTTTCCTGATGACACCATAGAGCTACTGAACAAACAAGCCTTCTCTTCAAGGGGAAAAAATAAACCTCAAAGTCATTTAAGCCACTATGTTATCCAAATTTTCTAGATTTTTTATTTTACTTTCATCATAACTTAATCTCTACCTGAAATGCCTCAGCTGAAAGTAGCCTCTTTTGACGGGGACTTTCTTAGCACTTCATCTGTACTTCATTTCTAAGTCTTTTTCACTTATCAAAATGCTTATCTTTCCTAATAGATTGTAGATTCCACTAGGAGAGACTCATGTAGGATTTACCTTGGTTCATGCTACCAATCTCAATATTCTACCTTCATACTGGTAAAACTTAATACACAAAAACATTGTGTAAAATGTAAAAAAAAAAAAAATCATATAATCTTATTATTTGGCAAATATGTCAAACATACACAGAGGTATAACATTTTAAACTTTAAGACAAAGATATTTTTGTGAATCAGGCAGTATGTTACAGATATGTCATGAAGTTCAGATTTGATTAAGATATATAAAGTTATATAAAAACATAATGTAGCTAACTCAAAATATTGGTATTCATGCAGCCAGTATTACAATCTGCAAAAGAAGTTGTTCAAAATACCTTTCCATTTTAGATAAAAATTTGAAGTATATATATTACCATCCTAATAGCTCCTCCTTTTCCACGATTCTTCACCAGTGTTATCACTCGTACTTTGTCACTTCCATATTTCTGACAATATTTGAAAGCTACCTGTCAAATTATAAAAAAGTCAGAAAAAAATTAACTGGAAAATGATAAATGTCTGGGGTGATACATATGCCAGTTATCCTGATCTGATTATTATACATTATATATGTTAATGAAATGCCACATTGTATTCCACATACACGTATAATTACTATGTGTCAATTTAAAATATATATATTAATAAAAAAATAAAGAAATAAGTTTGAAAATCAACTTGGATTCCAAAAATTTTATAAACTGGGTTTTTCATTTGGACTCAAACACTGCAACTCTGTTTTACCCTTTCTTGTGACTAGATTCTATCCACTGTACACACTGGCAGTCCGAGTTGTAGAGCTCCTGGAGCCAAGATACAACAATGAACCACTTATTAGTCACTGAAATCACAATATAATTCCTTACAAAGACCCAGCAGAATAGATAGCTACTGTCTCTTCCTGACTCCTTGACCTAAGCTGAGCTGTCAAAAAAGGAAAGCCATGTGTTAACTTCAACCCCCTACCCCCGCCAAAAAAAGTCAAACTTATGACAGGGCCCTTGATGCTGTTTCATGACTTGTTTACTTATTTTAGTCAGTAGTCTATCTTATTTACCAGAGAAGTTTTCTGTAACTTCTGTAGTTTGTGGACTATTTTCCCCAATTCTTTTTCTAAAAAAAAAAATATATATATATATATATATATATATATTTAGTTGTTGATGAACCTTTATTTTATTTTTATGAGGTGCTAAGAATTGAATCCAGTGCCTCACACATACTAGGCAAGAACTCTACCACTGAGCCACAACCCCAGCCCCTCTCCCAATTTTCATTCAAATTCCTCTCAGTAGAAAAGGACACTATAACTTGTCCTTTTCTTTGAAATCTTCCATTTCTTCTTTTCCACTGACTCCTGCACAAGCTTGCTTAAGCCTCCAGCATCCTAATTTTTTTTTACTGTTATTTCACTATTCACTTAAGCAACTACCATTACTCTGATTTATAATCAAAGTTATGGGCTGGGGATGTAGCACATGTAGAGTGCCTGCCTAGCTTGTCCTGGGTTTAATTAGCACCAATCCCCTACCCCTGCCAAAAAAAGTCAAACAGTAATCTACATTTGCTACCTGCATTTCTTCATCTGTTATAGCATGGCTCATGCCCTTTACTTCCCCACATCCCCGTTCTACCAATGTTGTCCCACTGAAGGCGCCCTCACCCCCTTAACTTTTGACAATCATTTTTTGTAGACAGCTAAGAAGCTATTCTCAGTCTGGCATTTTTCCCTTCTCCCCTAACTGTAACTTTTCAGTTTTCATCACTAACTTCTTTTCCGTGGCTTGCTCCTTTAATGCTGATAATCCCCCAAGTACCCTACATTGTACAACTGCATAGCTTATGGGCAGTCTTTGGTCACTTCTCAACAAATAAGCACAATGGGTTTAATTACTTAACATGGGTTTAATTACTGCTTATATTATGTTTAAGATCTCACATATTTATAGTCCAGACTTCTTCCCTTTGTCACCTAGATGTATATTAGATACAAAAATTCCAGAATTTCAATCATCTGCTCCTACTTTTGCTCATTCTAAATTTCTCATAAAGCAAATGGCATCATCATTTAGCTCAAGTTAAAAACCTGAGACTCATTTTCCATTTCTATCATCTATTACAATTTAGTGGCTACTAACTCATCAAATTGATTCTAAAATGCCTCTTGAGCCAGGTGTGGTGATGACACCTATAATCCCAATTACTCTAAAGGTTGAGGCAGAAGGATCATAAGTTTGAGGTCAGCCTGAGCAATTTAGCAAGATTCTATCTCAAAATAAAATAAAAAGGACTGGGGATGTAGTTCAGTGGTAGAGTGCCCCTAGGTTCAATTCCTAGTACTGAGAATAGAATAAAATAGTATAAAAATAGAATAGAATAAAAAATGCCTCTTGACTCCATAGTATCCTATCCCCTGAAGTCTCCGTGTCTCTTGCCTCCCTAATTCACTCCCCTTTCTAATATGAAAATAAATCAGTTCTTAGAAGCCCTGTTCAAAAAGTCTCCATGATGACCTACTTTTTAAAAGAAGTTCCTCATCATGGCATATGAAACCCTCTGCAATGTGGGCCTCACATAACTTTTTAGCCTCAGCTCTCCATGCTGCTGCATTAGCACTTTGTGTATCAGCAGTATTTGAGGTCTCCAGAACATATTTAAACCTTTCCCTAGAACATGCTTTCCTTCATGTCAACCTGTCAGGCCAGATTAGATTTAGCTCAAATACCAGTTCTTTTTCTTGGCTTCCATGCTCGTCCTCAATTTTTCCAGGAAAAAAGAAGTATAATCATTTTTTTTTTCTTTTTGGTACAAGGGATTGAACCCAGGGGTGCTTAACCACTGAGCCTCAGCCCCAGACCTTTTAAATATTTTATTTAGAGACAGGGTCTTGCTGAGTTGCTAAGTATCTCGCTAATGCTAAGGATGGCTTTGAACTCATGATCCTTCTGCCTCAGCCTCCTGAGTTGCTGGGATTATAGGTGTGAGCCAGCCAGAAAAGAAGTATAATCTTTATTTACTCTTAAGTTTTAGGTAGACACAATATCTTTATTTTACATTTATGTGGTGCTGAGGCTCGAACTCAGTGCCTTGCGCATGCTAGGCGATCGCTCTACCACTGAGCCACAACCCCAGCCCCAAGAAGTATAATCTTTTTTTTTTTATTTTTAAAAAAATTTTTAAAAAAATGTTTTAGTTGTTGATGGACATTTATTTTAATTATGCGTGGTGCTGAGAATCAAACCCAATGCCTCACACATGCTAGGCAAGCGTGCTACCACTGAGCCATAGCCCCAGCCTCCCAAGAAGTATAATCTTAACACTAATATTGTATTTGCTTTTGCTCTGAAAGTATTTTCCCATTCAACTGTTACTTATCACATAATAGGTCTTCCTCCACAGCAGTGACTTACTTAAAGGCAAAGGTTAATACATTTATTCCTTATTTTCCACAGGGATTTATTCAGGACCTCCCAGGATACTGAAATCCAAGGATGCTCAAATCCCATATATAATATGGCATACTGTTTGAACAAAATCTACACATATCTTCCTGTACACTTTAAATCAACTTATAGTACTAAATACAATGCAAATACTATGCAAAATAGTTGTTATACTATATTTTGGGGGGAATAATCACAAGGAAAAGAAACTCTACACATATTCAGTATAGGTGCATTTGTGTGTGTGTGTGTGTGTGTGTGTGTGTGTGGTGGGATTGAACCCAGAGCCCTAAGCATACTAAGAAAGCACTCTACAACTGAGCCACATCCCTAGCCCCTGATGCAAGTTTTCAAAAGTATTTTCAAATTAATGGTTGGTTGAATCTGCAGGCATGGAACCCACAGATATGAAAGGCCAGCTGTATTTGTAGTGCCTGACAGTAGGGAATTTACCACTCTCAATGAACAAATGTGGCCATGGACCCTTATATGTACTCTTACTGGAGCACCATGACAGGTACCATTACTTAGTTGCCCACCTAACAAGCATGTTCCCTTTTTCCTTGCAGACATGGCCACAATCTTGCACAGTGACAATGTGTGCAGCCCTAGGGAATGAATCCTAACTGATCTAAATCTTTGCCAAGTACTTCCCAAGCTTCTAAGTAAGTCGGTAGCCCTTTCTCCAAGTTCTGGCTCATGAACTCTGGTATAAGTGTCCTAGGATTATAGGTATGAGAGGGACATCTCCCAGAGGTAAGACCTCCCAGAGATAAATCATGATGGAGCCTGCCAAAGGGCATACTTGAACCCAGTGGCAGATATGAGGAGAGGTTCCAATTTTAATGACAGTTTTAGAAATCTGTAAGTCAGGGTGGAATACAAAGAAATTACACTTAGGGAAAAAAGGAAGTACAAATTGGTGGGCAAAGAGGCCACAGTGAAATGTGGTTGGGTATATTCCCTACCTATCTGGTGATCTTCAAAGCCTCCCTAACCATGTGAAACAGTGGAACAATAAGTGTATTTTCCATAAATAAAATCTGAGCCAGGCACAGTGGTACACGCTTATACTCCCAGTGGCTGGGGAGGCTGAGGCAGGAGGATCATGAGTTCAAAGCAGCCTCAGCAAAAGCAAGGCGCTAAACAACTCAGTGAGACCCTGTCTCTAAATAAAAATACAAAATAGGGATGGGGATGTGGCTCAGTGGTTGAGAGCCCCTGAGTTCAATCCCCAGTACCAATAAATAAATAAATAAAATAAAATCTGTTTTTTCCTACTTCCCACACTATAACATCAGACAGTATTAGGCACAGCTTTAACTAAAGAAAGATTTCACATGTACTAAATTATCCCAGATTTTCTACCTACTGGCAAGATTAAGAGCACATGTATTTACCTTTGAAGTCTGGTCTTTACTGCCATCATCAACTACTATCACCTCATAAGTGAATGAAGGATCTTGTTTCTGCAAGAAGAAAAAATAAACTAGCACAATAGTCAAGAATTTTAATAAAACTGTAATTAAGAAACAACTGTTTTAGTGTTAATATGTACAGATAGAAGCCAGGTACTTTTGGTGCCCACTGGAGAGAGGCTACAAGTGTATGGGAAAAAAACCCAGGAAGACTGAAGTTGGAGAGAGCATATTCCAATGGTTGGACCACTCCTTAGTCTTATAACCATGGGCACCTTAACTTTTTGGCCCATTTTCTAATTCATGGTGGCTGACATAAAGATCATATGTAATAGAAGAGGTAGATACTTCACACATACTAAGGGCTCACTCTGCTTTCTTTTTTCTCTAAATTTAATTTTTAAGTAGGTAATAGTTCCCTTTCTTTTAACAAGTCTTCTTTCTTCCCTTTATAAAAAAAACTCCCAGAGCAAAGTAAATCAAAATGAAAAATTTTCTAAAAACCAAAAAAACAATAAAGAACAAAACAAACAAAAAAAAACCAAGTTATAAAGCTCACTTAATTCTTAGCCTTTCCAAGGATTCTAAAGGCAATTAATGCTATTAACAAAGGGTATGTGTTACTTTCTTGTCTTCGTGAAGAAAAAAGGTGAAAATACCTGAGAGGGCAGCTTTAGAGAATAATAAAGAAACAAAAGAATTTCAATCTAAAAGAAGTCTTTTAAAAACATACCTCTTTTTTAAAAAGTTACGGAAGTAAAAACTGCATTGTTCCGTCATACAAAATGTGCAGATGTGCACTGTCACTTAACTTTAGATACATCACCAGGAGGATAAAAACTGGATAGGAGGATACACAAAGAGAAATTTCAGCTTTCTGATTTGTCCTGGGTTACCTCCTGGCTGGCCTATGGAGGTGGCCTCCTATGTACTGCTGATGGCTAGCAGAGGGAGCCAGAAGGTGGTTCAGGGATCAGTGTGGCCAGTACTGTCTCTCATGGTGCATCTAGCTTGGTCTGGTTTTAACTGGAAACATCAAACTGAAAAAGAAAGTAAGATACCTGTCTCTTCTCTAGGTAGCCCAGGGCTTCATCCATCATCACAGGCACTTAAAGGAAAAAAAATTGAAAATTAGTTACCAAGCCCCAGCATACTACATTTATGTATGGAACAAGTCCCAATTTATTTGACAACTCCTTTCACAGTCCCTCCAGAGTCATTCTCATCTGTAATATCTGTCTTCATCTTACTACCTCCCTAGAACATTTCAGTTCCACTACCTCATGGTGCTGTTTCCTTCTTCTGAACTATAGTTACCAAAAATGTACTCACCACAGCCCATGTCTGCAAACTCAAACACTTCAAAAATTTCCTTTTCCCCCCAAATTCCCCTTACCAAAAAAGTTAAATGAAGCTTACACCGTTTTTCTTCATTGTAGGAAGGCACAACAACAGAAAGTAGTTTGGTGGGTAAGTCCCATATACTGGGCAAAGTTTCCTTCTGACCTTTGGCATTTAGGAAGAATTTCTCTTCTTCATGTTGATGAAGTAGTGGCACATTTGTGGCAGTTATAAATGCAACCATGGAAATCTAAAAGTAGACATGTTTTAAAAAATTATGTGATGCTGATTTTTATATGCATTTGCCATAGAATATATAATTTACATGAGTTTTTTATTTTGGTGGAATATTCATTGTATTTGGTTCATTAACAATGGTCTGGAGGTAATTCCATAATAAGATGACAGTACCCTAATTAATCCTTTACTTACGAGTTGAAGATTTTCCTTTTTTCCAATGCTAAGGCACAAATGCTTTAGGAGGTTTTTTTAAAAAAATTATTTTCATTTATTTGTCTTTATGTGGTGCTGAGGATCAAACCCGGTGCCTCCCATGTGCTTTTGCACCCCAGCCCATGGAGGTTTTTATTTTTCCCACTTTTCATTCCGTAGGCCTCTATCATACCAGATCAGATAAGTCACTACAGGAAGTTCAGTGCACTCGTAGATGCCTTAAAAACTAATCCTCAGTGCACATGCATGTGTGCACATATACTAGCTGACACCCCTACTCAGAGCCTATACATAACAGAGGACAAGTTCATATTGCAGTCAGAATGTGTGAGATGAAGGCAGACTTCCTAGCCAAGACCAAACAGACCCAGAACAAGAAGGGAAGATGCCCTACCCCCCACAGTTGGGACCAGTAATGCTTAAAATGTATTTTGATATTCATCCCAAATTTGAATTCAGAATACAGCATTTTCTGGAGTAAAGCATAAAATTTGTAGACTCTCTGTCACATGCACTTGGGAGCTAGCTTTGGTTCTCTCTCTCTCTCTCTCTTTTTTTTTTTTTTTTGTACTAGGGATTGAACCACCAAGTCACCCATCCCCAGCTCTTTTTATTATTTGAGACAAAGTCTTGCTGAATTGCTGAGGGTAGTGCTGGGATTCCAGGCACAGGCCACCATGCCCAGAAAGGGAGCAAGCTTTGGAAATAAACCACTTTTATAACATTGCTTCTACTGGTATATTTTCTGCTTTCAAAACAATTGATCTATACATTTTTGGAATTCTACTCATTTGCACTTTGATGATCACTTATGACACAGAAGTAGGTACATACTGAAACTGAATATACTTCTGATTAGAATAAGAAAAGGGACAGTTGCCAAACTAATGGTTAAGAGTTCCTGCTTTGGGGGCTAGGATCATGGCTCAGTGGTAGAGAGCTTGTCTAGCACGTGTGAGGCACTGGGTTCGATTCTCAGAACTACATACCGATAAATAAATAAAATTTAAAAATTCATCAACAATTAATAAAACTATTTTAAATACATAAATAAATGGTACTGTGTCTATCACTAAAAAATATTAAAAAAAAAATGTTCCTGCTTTGTACCCTAATGCCATGATTGCAATTTCTAAATTTACTTTCTCACTAAAAGTAACTAGTGCTCCTAAAAAGAATGGTTGATCAGATCTGTCTGGGACAGGAAATATACAACTGTAGAATAACACATCATGTCAAAAATCAAAGACTATCAATGATTATAAGGGCTTTGCCAAAAGGACAAAGGAGTCAGTCAACTTGAAGGGCCTCCCACTAGCCTGTCAGGGGAGGATTTCAGTATCAAAAAGGATAATAATTATAATAGATTAAAACACATGATAATTTTTAAAAATCATGAACCCTAATAAAACTAAAAATAAAAACTGGTCACCTTTAAGATGCCAGGAAACCATCTCATAATTTTTAAAACTTTGTCTTTTATATATAAAAATTATTTCAGGAAAACTAGCTGAGGATGAGATTCTTTTCATTATAAAATTCTAGGTAATCAATAAAGAATGATACAATTAGAGTATTCTACTTTGCAACTCACAGTGAAATAAAGCATTTAGATAATGATCACAAATGACCACTAAACCCATTATTAGACTGATGACAAATTTCATAACTGGAGGGCCTAATTAGCAACAACTGAACACACTGACCATTTTTTTTTTTTAAACACCAGAGACAACTAACTATCATATGCCTCTGAAACAGGGGAAGTAGTAAGCATCACTCACACACTTTTCTTGGTTGAAAAACTCTAACATGCATTTGATCAGTTCTCTAGATTCCAACTAACAGTTCACAGGAAATTCGGTAGCCACAGGAAGATATTAAAAGGCACCAAGAGGATGCAATCAGTGAAATCCATACTATGAAAAGTTCTACAGAAAAAGCAATGAAAGTAAGAAAAATTTTTTAAAGGAGTAGAAACTGTTGGTAGGTAAAAAGCCTTGCAACATCAGTCAAGTGCCATGTATGGCCCTTGTTGAATACCGATCAGAACTGAGACATTTATAATGAAACATATATGGGACAACAGAGGGCATTTGAATTAATAGGTTATTTGAAATAATGAAATAATTGTTAAAAAAAAATTGGTGATCACCTAATTGCAATAACATTTTTTTTTTTTTTTTTAAAGGAGGCTCTTAGCTGGGCACAGTGGGAGGCACATGTCTGTAATCCCAGCAACTAGGGAGGTTAAAGCAGGAGGATTGCAAACTTGAGGACAGTCTCGGTAACTTAGTGAGACCCTCAGCAACTGAGAAAGTCCCTGTCTCTAAATAAAAAATAAAAAAAGACTTAGAATGTCCCTTGGTGGTAAAGCACCCTTGGGTTCAATCCCCAGTAACAAAAATAAAAAGAAGGCTCTTATAGAAATTAATGTTGAGGATTATAGATAATATTATCTTGGGCTTGTTTAAAATAATTAAGAAAGGAGGTAAACTGGGATAATATCAAATTAAAAAGCTTCTGCACAGAAAGGAAACAAGAGTGTGAAGAAAGAACCTATAGACTAGGAGAAAACCTTTGCTGGCTACTCTTCCAACACAGATTTAATATCCAGAATATATGAAGAACTACAATAACCTAGCACCAATAAAACAAAAACCCAATTAATAAATGGGTAAATGAACTAAACAGACATCTCTCAAAAGAAACACAGAGCTGGGGTTGTGGCTCAGTGGCAGAGTGCTTGCCTAGAATTTGTGAGGCACTGGGTTTGAATCTCAGCACTATATATAAATAAAAAATAAAGGTCCATCAATAACTAAAAAAAATTTTTTTAAAAAGGAGAAATACAAATGGCCAACAAATATATAAAAAGTTAAATATCTTTAGTAATTAGGGAAATGCAAATCAAAACTACATTGAGATTTTATCTCACTCCAGTTAGAATGGCAGTCATCAACAATACAAAGAACAGCCATGTATGATACACATCTGTAATCCCAGCAACGCAGGAGGCTGAGGCCGGCTGCAGCAATTTAGTTAAGAGCCTCAGTGTCTCAGATGTCTCAGACGCTGTCTCAAAATTAGTATGTTCCTAAGTTGTAAATTTACAACCCTCTGGGGAAGATGGCAAAGTGGCCTTCCTGGCATTGCTGTCTAGGCAGCTGATCTGAATGCCAAGGATGCTGAAATACTCTCCGTTTACTAACTAGATGGTAGGCTCATTCCAAATTATGTGGAAGAGAGTTCACTTGGCAAGTATTCTGTTCTATAGATCAGCAAGTGTTTACAATGTTTTTATACTTCCAGATTAATGGCAGAGGAAATCTTGGTTTGAATTCTATTGTTCTGCTGTTTACAGAGGCAGCAAATCTGAAGTGTCTAATTCTGGGACCTAAGGACCCATAGCCAGAAGAGGAGAAGACAAGGCCTGTTTCTCTTGCTCACTCTGCTTTCCCAGAGGTTCTTCTTGATCCATCGAATCATTCCAATCCTTAACATATGGCACCCTTCTGGGGGTTGAAGACCTCCCCAGGTGGGGCCGAACTGCAGAGACTCCAGGCTGGGGGAAAGGCCTTGGAGAGGTCTGGGCTGACAGGCCGGGTGAGCGAGGGCCAAGGCAGCGGTCTGGGCTGACCGGGCTGAGTGGGCGCGTCCCGAGGCTCCGGGCACACAGGCAAATATTATTCCAAACAAATAAAGAGTCTTAAGTAAGTAAAGATAAATAAAAAGTATTAAAAAGAGGGGTGGGGTGAAAATCCTGGAGAGGAACCCTGGAGGAATTAGGGGGAAAGCAGGGTGAAAAGGGACACGTCCAGGAACCGGCAGCGCTGAGTAGGAGACGCCTGGGAGCCGCAGCCTCCGGGAGGGCGTGAGTTCAGGTCGCGCCGGTCCCCAACCCGGTGCTCACCAGTATGAGGGCTGCGGCCGCCAGCGCCACGCAGAGCACCGCCAGCTGCAGCAGGAGCGGAGCCATTCTCCATGCCGAGCCGCCACCTCCCGCCCTATCCAGCACCTACACACACGCGGAAGCGCTCCAGGAGTTCCGCCTTCCGCCGCCGAGGAGGACGCGCCGGCCGGGCGCCCGCCGCCCACAGCGCCCCCGCGCGGCCAATCTCAGCCGCGACCCCGGAGCCAGCGCTGTTCACAGCGTCCCCGCGCGGTCAAGCGAAGAACAAGCAGCTCGCTTTCCAGATTAGCAAGTAAAATGCAAAAAGCCTACTTAATTTGCGTTTCAGATAAACAACAATACAACTAATTTTTTAAAACATCCTTAGTGAGATGTATTTCATATATTATACAGCTCACATATTTAAATATTTTGGTTTGTTACATTAATTTTCACAACTTTTATTGGTGCAGTGCACTGTGATTAAACATAATAGTAGGACTCATTAAGCCTCATTAGTACGTGCACATACTTTGCTCTATAGTACAAATTTGAGTACTCACCATTTTAAATGTATAATACACAATGCTGTGCATTCACCACCACTCAAACTTTCCCTGCTCCCCTATTCCCAGCACTGGTAGCAACTAATAACATGCACTATTTGGGGGTATACTCATATTAAAAAAAAATACTGTTCATAATGTTAGGTAGAACTAGATACAGTAAACACCGTTTTGAAATATATCCTCCATCTTAGCACAAGAGCCACCTCACAGTCACTCTGACTCAGCCTGATTTTAAACCCCAGACAATACATCATCATGCAAAGAAACCCAAACAAAACTTCATCATCATACAAATAAAGGAAATTGTTGTCTGGGACTGAAATACTGAAAACACCTGGATGGACATGGAATAGTGACCACCTCAAAGAGTAGAGGGGACAACCCAAAGAACCTTTCATTGACAATCCCCTAATTGCAAAACTCCCCCCACTCTCTCATGCCTCTATATCTACTCCAGGCTGTAAGTGGAAGACAGGTCTCAGTCTCCGCTGGGCCCCTTCGCTCGTTTGTCCCGAATAAACCGGTGTCACTATTGAGCTGTCTCTCCTCTTTATTTCCTCATTCGTTTCTTTCCTTACACACAAGGCATTCCCATCTGGCCAGGTGTCCAGTATTTTACCTAGTAATCCTGCCTAGGAAGGAGCTGAAAGCCTTGTCACGGCAGTCAACCGCTGAGAAAGTGAAAAGTTCACATTTCTCAGGTGCTGGAGCGGAGAGCCCGTTACCTGGGGAGAGGCCATCCCAGGGGCCAGCCTAAGACCGACGGGAAATGGACGTAGAAACATTGGAATGATGTTTCATATCTACAGACTTCTTTGCTATAAACTCGGTTTTCTTTTAAATTGTTGGCTTTATTCTGAACTACAAACCTTTTTCTAAAGAGGGACACTGGTCTAATAGCAGATTCGCTAAAAATACGCCACAGGCAAGAAAACCTAGAAAGGCTCTCGCTAGGGTAGGGCGGTGCGGAGCGCCACCAGGACCAGCTTCGCGGAGTCCAGCCTTCCGAGTCTCCAGCCGCGGGAGTGCCAGGGAGCTCGCGTCGAAAGTGCGACCGCGGAGCTGGCGCGGGCGGGAGGTCCGCGCAGGCGCAGGCGCGCGAGCGGGAAGATGGCGGCCGGGTTCAAGTGAGTGTTGGCGGCCGGCGGGCCCTAGCGGTGCTTCCAGGCGGATGGCGGCTTCCCTTAACCCTTAGTTCGGTGCTCTGTCCTGGAGGCCGACTCCGTCTGGGTCTCGCTCCTTTCCTAGGCGACGGGAGGGGGACCCGGCGGTAGTCGCAGTGCCAGGAGAGGCGCTTCTCCCCCCACGTGGGACGGAGTAGAGGGTTTCTGTAGCGCCCGGTCCCCACCGCGCGCTAGAAACCTGGTGCCTAGTGAGCGCACAGTCCAGGGAGGTGCGGCTGTAACCCTTTAAGCCACGTGCTGCCCGGCTCCCCACCTCCCGTAATTTATTTCTAAAATAATTGTGCTTCCCTCGGAAGATTTCACTCTTGGTGCCACTCTGGTGAAGCCTGTGGACTGTCAAAAGTTTTTAAATGAGCGAAATAAAGATTCCAAATCTTATTTGGAACCAGTGATGCTGAAATAGTTATTTTTGTACTCGGGTTATAAACCTTGAACAAAAAAAATGTAATGGCGAGTGTAGTGTTGGCAATTTCAAAGTAACCGTGAACTTATGTTTATCTCCCACAAGTACAAAAACGAAAACATTTATGATCTCGGTAGATATTGAAGTTGCAGGTACTGCTATTCAAGGTTTATTACTTTGTAGCTATAGTGGAATAATATGCTAAATTTCAGTGTAGTAAATGTAAAGATCCTTTCTCATGATCACTAGGTTAAGAATCCCCCCTTTAGAGCAAGAATGACATGATTATTTTAACGACCGGATTAATCCTCTTTTAAAGATGTCTCAAAGGGTTTTGGATTGCAATCCTATGATTGAGAGTTAAGGACAATAGTGGAATGTGATTGCTACTGCAAGGGTATCTACTTTCAGTAATTACTTATAGGTGTTAACAATCATCAGAATTCGTGAAAAAAAGTTACAGATTGTGGTGATGTGCTGCACATCACTTAAAATCTGCTAGATTTTGGATTTATGTAAAGTGTCATTAACTTACAATAGTAATATTTGTAATGCATTTCAGAACTGTGGAACCTATGGAGTATTACAGGAGATTTTTGGTGAGTAAAGTGGTGATGCACATGTTACTCCTTTTAGTAAAGTGTTTGATAACAATATCATGCTTCTTTTAAAGACAGATTCATTTAATTAATTTGAATTAATGAGGTCTAATATGTTTCTCTTGTTATATGTAAAATACACATGTAATCTATTTTCCTGAAAAAAACATTTAGAAAGAAAACTGTCGTCCTGATGGAAGAGAACTTGGTGAATTCAGAACCACAACTGTCAACATAGGTGAGGGTCTATTTTTATTTCAGCTTGTATGGCATTCCAAAGTTCTTTTTTTTTTTTTTCCAAGTTAGATTGTACTATGTATATGGGATTTGAGGATATTTTGTAAAGAGATTTCTGTAAAGAGATTTCTATCTGTACAATAGCCCTGTGACTGAATAAAAATTACTAACATAAATTCAAGGACAGGGAAATCTTAAAACATTAGGTAACTGAAATATGTTGCAAAATAGTCATGTATTAGAAACACAGTTTATTGTATAGATAATGCTATAGTTGTTTTCCCTTTAAGGACATTTCATTTTGCTTAAATACTGCACTTATGTTTTCAGGTTCAATTAGTACAGCAGATGGTTCTGCTTTAGTGAAGCTGGGGAACACTACAGTAGTTTGTGGAGTTAAAGCGGTAGGTTTAATATGTCTTATTGACATTTGACATACTAAATCAGCTTCATATAATTATTAGATAGTATTATACATTTGTAATTCTGCTATTGATTACAGTCATCTGTTAATTTTTTTGTATTAAGTATCCTAGGAGCTTTTACCCATGTTTTAGATAATATGACCCTTATTATCTTAATAGCTTATGATTCATGAATATTTGAAAAATGGCCACAGTAAAACATAATCCTCATCACAACTAAGTTTTTAAAGAATTTGGTTGTATCATTTGAGAAACTAATAGGGTGATGCCTTCTTAGCCAGTAATAATGTTTGTAAATGTGCAGACACTTGAGATTGTTCAAAAGAAAAGTTTGAGGGAATTAACTGAGTACCTGAGTACCTAAGGTTTCAGGTACCTTATTAGGTTGGGTACAAAATTATCTAGTTTCCATTTCCTGTTTTAACATGTGGTTCAGTAACTTGTCTGGACACACAAGGCTCATAAATAGAACTTGAGGTGTAAATCCGATTCTAAAGTCTTTGCTTTTTAACTTATTACAACCTGTTACTTAACCTGATTTTCTTCTTTGGTAAAGTTGGGGTGAAATTTTCAAGATTTGAGCTTTTATTTCTTACCAGGTTTTATGCTAGGGATTTAATGGCCTTATTTTATTTGATCATCATGAACAACCCTAAAAGTAGGCACTATTAAATCTCTCAGTAAGTGTGGTCTGACATTCAAACTGGGTTAGTGATTTAAGAGCTTTGGTTCTTGACCTGTATGCTAGTGGTGCCTAAATCTGGCTGTTAGTATCATCTGAGGAATAATTTATTTTCTTGCCTACTGAATGAGTAGAAGGGTGGGGCAGAAACCCAATTAATCTTTTTGAAAAGATCCCTAGGTAATATTCTGTACTTTATTCCTTTTTACCTCACAGAGGGATTGTAAGGATTGGTGCTAACATTCTTAGACCCTCTGACACAATTCCTCAGACATAGTAGATGCTTATGATCTGACAATTAGCTAAGCTTGTTTTTAGTAGAGCTTTTCATAACTGTATAGTAAACCGTCTTCACAATTTTTTAGTATCTTCTTTCAATAGAAAACATTTATTTGCTTGTATAGGAATTTGCAGCACCACCAACAGATGCCCCTGATAAAGGATATGTTGGTAAGTTCAGTGATTTTATAATTTTAATATAAATAGTTTAACACATTTAATACTAACAATTCTTGATAAGTCCTAGTAGTTGCTTTAGACAGCAATTCCTAACATTCAGAAATACAAGGAGTAAAGCATATTCTCAAAAAGTTTTCTGTGTCAAAGTCAGCTTTGAAATTTAACTTTTTGTCAAACTTGGTTATTTATTGTTCATATATTCACGTGTCATCAACAAAGGAAACGGAATTTTTTTAGTCAGAGGGCTGTCATTACAAACTTTGTTTTCCCTAATACTTGTTTTTGTTGTTGTCTTGGATGATCTGTTCTTTATGGTAGGAGCCAACATTGGGGAAAAAAAAAGTGCTTGCCAAACATGAGCAAGGCATTGGGTTCAATCCCCAGCATAACAAAAGAAAAAGTTGGGTGTAAACAGTTCATTTTGAAATAAACCAGGAAAAATTTGGTGAAGGATTTATTAGGATGATTGTGTCCTAACATGGATGTTTAAAAAATTTAAAAAAGCTGGAAAAAACATCAGGGAAATAATTTCTTTTTAACCCTGAGAGTCTTACAAAGCTGCAGAGTGTTTCTTTAAACAGTTCCTAATGTGGATCTACCACCCCTGTGTTCATCGAGATTTCGGTCTGGACCTCCTGGAGAAGAGGCCCAAGTAGCTAGCCAGTTCATTGCAGATGTCATTGAAAAGTAAGACTATTGATAAAATTTTACTGTCATTCATTTTCAACGTTTTTGACCTTTCATTTACTGTGCTATTTGTCATTAAATCAAGTTCACAGATAATTCAGAAAGAGGACTTGTGCATTTCTTCAGGAAAGGTAAGATGTATAGAGAAGCAATGAACTTATATTAATTCAGAAGGGTTTGTGGGGATACAGCAAAGAGGGCAATTAGAAGAAATCCTGATAGCCTACTCAGTCTTATTCTGTAATTATCAAAATAAATTGTTATTCATAAAAAAACAAGTTGGATTGCCTATCAGCTCTTTAAAGCTCATTTCCTTCCCTTAATTTGAAGAAAAATGTAGTCATCTTTTATTTTTTTAACTGATTAATTTTTGATTGTGCTAATGTGTTTAAAGGTGAATGTACATGGTGGATACCAAAAGTCTGAACACTTAACACTAGGCTGAGGAGGACCTAGAGAGATTTTCCTCTTGGATTACATACAGTTAACATTTTAAAACCTAAACATTTCCTATATTGAAATATCTGTGGGAAAGTACATTTTTGAGTTTCAGATAGGGCTTTCTAAAGTACTTCCCTCATCTGTTAACCTAGCAATAAGAATGGAGATTTCTTCATCTATATCTCCCTTGAGGGGAATGGAGATGTTTCTCACTTATCAGGTTGGTAATCAAAAAAATTTTCACTTTCTTTTTGTTTCCTCTTTATAAAGGTCAATCTTTTAAGTTTTTGAGCCTTGAAGTTTATCTTGTTTATTTAACAAAGGGTTCTGTGATTTTTAAATCCAATCAAATACTATTTTCTGTCCACAGTAAGATTTCTTTTTTGTGCAAACCATTTTTAGCTTGCTTGGGTTCTATACTGTGATCTCATTTGCCTTGACTATGATGGAAACATTTTGGATGCCTGCACATTTGCTTTATTAGCAGCTTTAAAAAATGGTAAGCAACCATAATAAAAATTAGTATTTCTATTAATGGGGTCAAAATTCTATTTTGTGAAAACATTTTATATATGGCTCAATAAACTTTCAAAGATTTCTAATGTTTAGTTATTCGTGTGTTCTAAAATTAATGAAAATTGAGGAAATGATAGTTGTAACCACAGTTTAGGTCAACAAGTATTTTTTAAGTTCTTTGTCAGAAGGGATATGATGGATTCTGTTGGTTTTTACTCTGAGGCCATAAATATAACCTTTAACTGTAAAGTTTCTTAGTAAGGAATCTAGGTAGTGAGTCGTCAGGATTTTAATATCTTGGCATATCCTCTATTATTGCATTACTGAATTGCTAACAGATAATTAGAGGAAGAAGATAATATAGTAATATTACAATATAGCAAATTTAATATAGGACTTAAATTTGAGTTCTGGCTTTACCACTCTGAGCTGAAACTTCTGCATGTTTAATAAAAGGGAGATAATACTTTTTGTGAAATGTTGACTAAATGAATACAGAGAAAATGCTTAAAATAGTATCTAGCATGTAGAAAGTGACTAGACATTTCTTAATTTTTTTTAAAATAAGAGGCGGGAACATCAGATGTTTTTGAACAATATTCATCTCCACTAATAAGATTATTAATGTTCTGGTCAAATTAAATAGAAGAAAAAATTAACTCAAAAGTAGAGACTGACTTTACAAGTTTCTCTTTTCTTTAGTACAGTTGCCTGAAGTTACTATAAATGAAGAAACTGCTTTAGCAGAAGTTAATTTAAAGAAGAAAAGTTATTTGAATATTAGAACTCACCCTGTGGCAACTACCTTTGCTGTGTTTGATGAGTAAGTTATTATTTTGGTATCAGGGATTAAATGAGGGGAGCTTTACCACTGAGCTACACCCCTTGCCCTTTTTACTTTTTATTTGAGACAGGATGTTGCTAAGGCTGGCTTGGAACTTGCAATCTTCCTGCCTCAGACTAAGTTGCTGGGATTACAGACATGTGCCACTGTGCCTGGCGAGTAAGTTAATGTATTTTAAAAATTGTCTATATTCAGTGTTAAGGAAATGGCTTGTTATTTTCAGCTTTCTCTCAAAAAATTTCTGTGGTGGCCATAACACCCTATTTTGCCCTGGGCAGTTTGAATCCCTGCAGAATTATTTGTAGTCACTCCTTCCACTTGCTTCATGTATGTTCTCTATGATGTCTTTAGTATTTGCCAAGGATTTGAATACATTAAAAAATTGAACAGCAAAGAATTTTTTTCAAGTATTGGATTTTAAGTTACTACTTAATTTTTTGGTTTCTTACCAGTTCTATTCTAGCTCTTTTTATACCTGAGCTAAAAAGGCAAATAGTATGTTTAATGTTCTTTTAAAGAAACAGTTGGCTGGGTTGATACATGCCTGTAATCCCAGTGATTCAGGATGCTGAGGCCAAGTAGACTGCGAGTTTTTGAGGCCTGGTTCAATGACATAGTGAGACCCTGTCTAAAAACAAAAAGAACTAGGGATTTAGCTTAGTGGTATATTGCCATGGGTTCAATTTAAAGAAATAAAGTACAGTAACATTTGTTATGGGATAACCCACTTTTTTTTTTTCCCCTTCTTTTTAAAATAGCACTTTGCTGATAGTTGACCCTACTGGAGAAGAGGAGCATCTGGCAACAGGAACCTTAACAATAGTAATGGATGAGGAAGGCAGACTCTGTTGTCTTCATAAACCAGGCATGTTCCTATCCCTTCAAGTCCTAAACATATGTAAACTTTATTAAGGTGGGCAAAGTGGAATGAGGGATATTTTATTATTTACCTAAAGTAAGGTTACTAGTTTCTTTGCTACTTCAAGTTCCTTACACTTATGTATTGTATATGGCAGTTCTTACATTTCTTACAACTTATGTTGTAGATCAGAATCTCTTGGAGGTCATGTTAAAACATAACTTGCACGTCTTGAGACCATAATTAACATTATCCTATTACTTTTATAATTTGCTATGAACTTCATGTTTTATAAAAATAACTAATTATAATTGTTGGCACAATAATTTTTCAGGTGGAAGTGGACTCACTGGAGCTAAACTTCAGGACTGTATGAGCCGTGCAGTTACAAGACACAAAGAAGTAAAAAAACTCATGGATGAAGTAATTAATAGTATGAAACCCAAATAAAAAGTCACATATTCCGAACAGATTTGTAAAAACTATATTGTTACACTGTGCACAAACTTTTTATACTAAATAAATATCAAACTACATTCTTCTGAAAGATGTTTCTAGTATTTCTTAGGCCACTTCCATATATATTATGTACAGTGAAACCATTTTTAAAAAGCAATGACTTAGGCAAACCAACCCTGGTTCCTTAAGCCATTTCCCCATTTTTATTTAAAAATCATAGGGTTGTGCTTCTGTATAAAGTTTGTACATCTAACAATGTAAAATACTGACACATTTTAAAAAATGAAGTAGAAACAATTATTTTGATTCAATGCTGTTGTGTTTTTAAAAAAGAAAAAATAACTCATAATTTTGGAGTGGTTGGTGTGCTTCTCTTCATTTTATTTTTTGACTGGCTGCCTGTATGCCGATGACGATGTAGCTGAGCTGTTTGTGCTGCTGCTGCTGCCATAGCCATTTGATGCTGCAAGAATCGCAACTGCTGCAAAAGGAAAGAAAAAAATCAAGTTATGTTAAAGCAGACAGGTATGGACAGGTGCTTTTTCTGAGAGTGATGAAAACAACACAACTGAAAGGGAGAAAGCACCAAGATAACAAAAAGGGACTATAACACATTGAGACAATGCACAGTCAGACAGCACCAGTGGCACAGAAGCCTGCTGAGGGCTTTAAAAATAACTCTTGGCAAACTTAAGGATTACTTTGCCCTGCCAGTCTATAATGCAGTAACTCAGCAACTTCAATTACCATTTTGTTTTATAATGATAGTTTATAGCAATATGAAACCACCCTGAATATGAAGATTGTCAACTCTAATATGCTGATTTTCCTTCCTAAATTAATAACATTTTTCTAAATAAACAGGTATGACATTGACTAATAGGAACACTTTTCTGCAGTACAATATCAGAAAGTTAACAATTGGCACTTAAAACTATTTCAAAATATACTACAAACGAAAAAAATATATGGTAAGGTGCCACCAGCATGTCAATAAAATTTTAAATTAGGAAAAGAGTATGGCTTAAATGTACAAAAATATATCCAGTGCTCCAAGTTGACTGGCTAAAATGTTAAGACTTTCAATAAAAGTTTACTAAATTATTTACCAATTACAGTCTTATGAGACAGTGAAATTAAAGCAAGATATTTTGAGGTACTTTTGGATCTGAGTATCAAAAAATGTATCAGAGTGAAGTTGCTGGATTACTTGTATCTGTTGCTGCTGCTGTTGAAAGGCAGAGGAGAGCTGGAATCTCTGCTGAGGAAGGCTTTGCTCAGGTCTGTTCTCGGCAGAGCCAAGCTGAGACAACACTACAGAGAGGAGAAGGGGAAAGCAGGCCAGTCAAAAAGTTTGAAGGCTACCAGAGTTAGAAAAGGACAACACAGGAAATGAAATAATAGAAAAGTTAGCAGTATGATTAATCTTAAGTATCAAATCACAGACATTTCAGAATAAATTTAGTCTCTTGTTAGTTGAGGATATCACCAATTATAGAACTTTCTGGACAAAGAAAGGTAAGGGAGTACATGTGTGCCAAAGCACGTTACCCACTCTCTTGCATCTCAATGTAATTTGATACTGGTGCTATTTTATAGAAGTATTTTGTACCATATAAAATAGAGTATTTTTAAAATATACCCAATGAAATAGGAAAAAGGAGATGAAAGAAATCCAAACTAAGGATAAAGCTGGTAGACAAATGCTTTAAATAAAGGATGTAATGAATGTGAGACTATTTGCTTAATGATGGCTACAAACTATATTTGACTGGGACCACAGTAATCAGTTCAACACTTCCCTGTACAGATGAGAAGATTTAAGGAAGGCCTACATAATTTAACTCAAAGTAATTATTGCCAAGTCTGGAGTCGGAAACACTTTATGATTTTTCACATGACTTATTTCTACTAATTTACACTACAGCTATTTTAGAAAATTTATAACTTTGTGTGGTAAAGATATAAAATTATAAACTTCTACTTGGAAACTTTACGTATGAATTAATTATCTTCAAAACAAAGACCTTGATTATTCCATCCTAAAGGACTTTGAAATTCAGAAACTGGGAGTTATAGTCAGGCATGGTGGTGCAGGCCAGTAATTCCAGCAACTCGGAAAGCTGAGGCAGAAGGATTTTCATTTGTCAGCCTGACAATTTTGTGAGACCATGTCTCAAATAAAAATGACTAGGTAGGGATATAGTTCAGAGGTGGTGTGCTACTGGGTCCAATTCCCAGTATTACCAAAATAATAAAGGCGGGCGGGGGAGAGTGCTGTATAAAAATCTACAGACATTATAGTAAGCCCACAGGTGAGAAAATATTGACAATGCATTCATTAAATTTTCAAACTTTTTCAGAGTTTTCTTATGCACATGACTTAGTGTTTTAAATAATGTGAAATTAGAATTATTGTCAATTGTTAAGATAATATTCATTATTTTCATTTTACTATTTATTGCTGGAAGCACTGAGTAGTCTCTCAGTTTAATTCTTTTATTATTTTTTTTAACAAATGATAAAAGTGGCTTACAGAAGTTATGCTATGGTTAAGATTTAAGTCATGCAACCACAAACTATCAGAATGAGACAAAAGACTATGCATTCTAGGAGAAAGTAGTCCTAAATATCAAAGAGTTAGAATTAATTGCTTGGAAACACGGAAAACATGATTTGGATACATGATAAAATTTTGTCAACAAACTAACATAAGGAAAACACAACTGCTCTAACTACATGTGAGTCACAGCTCTTTTAAGTACTGAATTAACACAAACAAACACACACACACAAAAATAAAAGATTAAAAAAAAAAAAAAAAAAACTTCAGCCAGCCACCAGTTAATTTGTTTAATAGTTCACAAATTAAATATAGCTTTACTTTTTCTAATCATACCTTGCAAAGAAGGAAAAGAAAAGAATTTTAAGTGGTGAGATCTCTAATAGATTAGATACTTTTAGTAAATTCAGCATGTAAAGATACCTACCAGCTGCCTGTGACTGCATAAAACTTCCTACTCCAGTAAGGTTAATAACAGCAGCTTGCTGAGCAGATAAGGCCTGTTCTTGACTAGATGAACCTTGTTCAGAGCCCTGAATTTAAAAAATAATAACTTATACAAAGGAAAAACAATATTGAGCTGGTGAAAAGAAATTAGTTTCTTTCCTGTATGAGAAAAAAATAGATTAATTCTATTTTAAAAAATAACATTAGAAAGACTAAGAGTATATAGAATTAGGTTGGGCATGGTAGCAGACACTGGTAATCCCAATTCTTGGGAGGCTGAGGCAAGAGGATCAGAAATGCAAAACTAGTCCAGGTAACTTGGCAACTTAGTGAGACCTAGTCTCCAAATAAAAAAGGACTAGAATTCGGCTCAGTGGTAGAGTAGTACCCCTGAATTCAATCCCCAGTACTACACATCCATACAAAGTAAACAGAATTAGCAAGATTTGAAAGAGAGGAAATGAAACTTTTTCAAAACTGAATCAATGCTAATTGTTTGATGCCATTTTAATAATTAAGATTTTTAAAAAGAAGACAGGGTCTCACTGTTGCCGTTAAGACTTTTACAAAGCTTCACTAAAGCAATTGGTTAAAGCTTAAAATACCCCTTGCAACCTAATACCAAAACTTCTTAGCTAGCAGAAAGGAAATAAAAGGCATACAGAACGTAATGGAAAAAAAAGTCCCTATATGCAAATGGTATGAACATTTATGTAGGATATACCAAGGAAAATGCAAAAAGCTATTAAAATAGTTTAAGTAAGAATGCAAAATACAGGTCAATATTAAAAAAAATCAATACTGCATACTAGTAGTAAACATGGAAACTGAAAATAATAGCACAGACAGAATAAAAAAACTTACATATAAATGTATATCTAATGAAATATATACAAAATATATACATTAAAAACTTCAAATGTTGATTTTGTCCTACATAGTGTGTCTGTGTTCATTGATTGTAAGACTTGCAAAACAAAAAAGGCAATTCTTCCTGAAAGAGATTGATAGTTTATCAATTCCTTCAAAAATTACTCAATTCCTGGGGCTGGGGTTGTGGCTCAGTGGTAGAGCGCTCGTCTGGCATGTGCAAAGCCCTGGGTTTGATCCTCAGCACCACATAAAAATACAGGTATTGTGTCCAGCTAAAAATTAAATATTTTTTAAAAAAATTATTCAATTCCTTTAAAGACCCCAAAAAGGTTTTTGTAAATATAGGCAAGCTGATTCTAGAATCTGTACGGAAAAGAACCTAGATTAGCAACAATTTTATAAAAAAGAATAAAGTGGGAGGAACCACTCTGCCTGATTTAAGACTTATGACAGAGTGCACAGAGATCAAGACAGTAAGATTTTGGCTGAGGGGTAGACCACAGATCAATGGAACAGAACGAAAAATCCAGGAACAAATTCACAGTCAAATAACAAAGGTGCGAAAGTAATTCAACTGAGGAAGGATAGCTTTTCAACAAATGATAACAGTGCAACTGAATATTCACAGCCAAAATTCCTAGACCTAAGTCACAGACCTTACACAAAAATTAACTAAGAAACAGGTCACAGATTTAAAATAGAAAACTGCAAAATTGTTAGAAGAAAGCAGGAGAAAATCTTAAGAGACACATCGCTAAAGTTAAGGGTTCTCAATCACGACACCCATAGGACATTATATAAAGAAATTAACTTGGATGTGATTAAGTTAAAAACTCACTCTGCAAAGTACAACCTTTGCTACCACCCCAAATAAGTGTGTGAAATAACATTTTAGTTTAAAAGCCAGACATTTCAAAAATTACTTGAGTGGTTTTTGTTAGATAAAGAAATTACACAGACAAGCATGGAACTGATGTTAAGAAGACACTCCTGAACTTGGAATCCAATTTAGGAAATGAACAATATAAAACGCAAACTACATCAATTTCAGAATAGAACCATTATAAAACAAAAGAAAAACCCAAAATGAAAGAACTATAGCTGGGACAAATCTCCCACTAAAAACAGCCCACAAAACTAAAGAACATTATAAAATACCAAATGGAAATACAAAAAATAAAAAAAAAAAAAGGCACAATAATGAC